ACCTCCGCAGAGATTAAATTAGTCCTTTGAAAGTTTAAAGCGAAAGGAATGAAATTGCATAAGAGCAAACTCGCATATGCAAAAGTTTGCATTTCACAAACAACTTTTATCGATTCATCGATCTCATTGGAGAAAATTCGCGTTAACGAAACATACGTAATTGCAGAGATGACTGTATTATAATTTTTATTCAAAATCAGCGATGTAAGAATTACGATTTATTATAAGAATCAGTACGATAAACATTGTAAAACGTTATAAATAATATGTTTTCTACTTTTTGACTTTCTGGTTTCAAAATCGGCGCAAATTGAATCGTCGCAAATCGAGGGTTATATATATATATGTTTGAGAACACCCTCATGAAGCCTCACCTTCGTCTTGGAACTGATGGGTGCACCTCGTTCCAGCATCATGTCCACTACCTGTTCATGCCCAGATCTGGCAGCACAGTGGAGGGGTGTGAGGCCATCCCTTGTCTTGGACTCAATATTAGCCCCCTTCTCCAGGAGCAGTGACACCATGTTGGTTTTCCCCCACTTGGCAGCCACGTGCAATGGTGTAATATTATGCTACAAATAATATTCATCATAAGGAACACGCGAGGTTAATCTCTCCAGTGTGAATGTCTGTCTCTGGCTGCTCCAAGGACAGTATTCCAGAATCACATGCAGATGAATGTGCCACGATCATGACTCGTGATATACCGCCACGGTGGTCTAGCGGTTAGAACGCTGGGCTTGTAGTACTGGGGTCCCGGGTTCGATTCCCGGAGGAGCTCAGATTTATAACTTGTGTTGGGCAAGGCCGTGGTCCAGGTTTCTCCGTGGCATCCCAAAAATTACTCTACTTTCATAATCATTTTGCAAAAAAGGGGGTCACACCATGCTGAATGGTGTGTATTGGACACGAAAAAAAGACTCGTGTTCAAATTCAGAGCAGTTTATCATAACATCCTGTGGATGACTGATTGGTATAAGTCTTTCACCTAATACTTAAACCTATGTTAATTAAACTTCACAAAATCTTGGAATAATGAGGGAAGGGTCAACGTACTTTATGACAAATGGTTCGTGACATCTGAAATTTGTGCTATAGGTTCTTAATGAAATCTAACCTTCTGAATAAATTTCTATACACTTTCAAAGTCGTAGAGTCCTTTTAGAATCACCCTGTATTTATTGTTACGAAAGCGACTGGTAAAGTTAGTCCATATGAATACTTTAGATTTATAATGACTGAGGTTTACAGACGTAATCCTTTTAGAAGTCAATTAGTAGTCTACATCAGTCTCTTGAATATTCACACGAGAAATTTACGTCTCTGTCTGCATTAAATTGCTGTAACTTTAACAATAAAATAAAGTAGAAATCAGTAGGGCCACATTTAAAATCAAACAGCGGGATAGGAGATCACAGTAACATAGAATTTAAATATAGTTAATGTAATCATAAATCAAATCGGGTTAACTTTTGATCAGAGTGACTTTAAACCTTCTCAATATCATTGATAACGATTTGTACGTATAAATCACGTGAAAGTAAATTTCACACATATTTTTTTCTGAACTATAATTAGTACAATTTATAATCAGATTATTCTCGCCAGATATTAAGCCTGCTGTGATCACTATAGTCGGCGCAGTAGTTTTTGGCGGGTGGAATTTTCAAGGGGGAGGCTAGGAGCGAGTCTCTTTCGCGATCGTATAATGCTGACTGCGCCGAGGAGCTTGTGTGACTGAACGCTCAAACAAAAGAAGTACACTGACCGTGCGACGTCAGGTACACAGACTAGGCCCTTCCGCCAGCTGCGCTAGCTTCTCCACCGGCCAAAAACTACTGCGCCGACTATACAGACACACACCCAAAGGTTGGTATGACTTACTTTGGCTGAATAGTTCACATCAGCCCCTGGAGATTGGCAATGTTTTCATTGCCGTAATGTGCTGCTATGTGGAGCGGTGTGAACCCACTCTTTGATGTCACGTCTGGGTTATGGTCATTCTGTAAGAGACGACGAATGACTCGGTGACACAAACTTGTATATACAATTTTCTGAGTAACTCTGTATTATGAAGAAACAACCTGGACGTTCAGCCAGAATTTTGCTGTTCATATTGATTGAAATTTTATATATTATCAACATTATTTAGGAGTTACTAAAGATAATTTTTTCCTTCAGCTTTCAGCCTCTCTGGTTCACTCAGATTGAGAATTTAAAATCTGGCAGCAACAGTGGCCTAACACTCAAACTTAAAAAATCCGGAGATGGCTGTCTTCTGGGTAAAAGTTTATCAGAATTTCAGATGTCCTTGCTGCCTCCATCATCAGGGCAACCCAGGAGGCAGCCATCTTTATACTCATTTCCCTATTTGGAAACTTTGGAAAGATGAAAAATCTTTGTTCACAAAGAAATAAGGTTATGAACTGGGTTAAATTGGTCCAGGACACTGCCGCTGAAGTTTCGGTTCCCTTGAGAGCAAGATCTCATCTGAAGAGGGCCGAGCGACTGGTTGCCTACCTGTAGCAGGAGAGCTGCAGCTTTGCAGTCGTCCTTCTTGGCGGCGATGTGAAGTGCTGGCAGGCGCACTTTACCGCGAGTGTCGTTCTCAAGAAGAACAGCGACCACCTTATCGTGGCCCTGTTGCATCGCCACGGCCAGTGGCGTGAATCCGTCCTGTAATATAATAAGTTTTATGTAAATCCCGTTATCATCCGTTCTTTGCACCAAGTGCACACCGAGAACGCGTCTGTCCAGTCGATTAAACTCGAGAACCACAGGACAGATTTGGATTAAGTCTGACGTGGAGGTTGTGCTGTTTTGTACGACCTCAAAATCGTACCATTGAATATCCTACAAGCGGTGATGAAATGACGGTTGAGAAAAGTCATGAAATAGATACCGACGTGCTGCGATCTGGTGGCCAAAGTGGGAGCTATCGAACAAGGCGGATTTAATATGTCTAAATGCGCGTTGCAAAGAACGCAGTGTGGACAAACCGCGTATGTCGGTACGAAACACACTTTCAGAGCTTGTTTTACCGTACGCTCGTAGCCAGTGGCGCTAGTCACTATTACAGCGACTCATAACCTAACATTCAGACACACGCGAGCTGCATTACAATGTTCTTCCCCCAGTAAACCGATACGAAAATCTTCCCTGCAATGATTATAATGAACGTTTATTTTTAATCAAATGCACTGGGAGATTCAAGACTGCAATTAACCTGTTATTAAGACTAATAAATTGTAAATTTTCCATACGTGTAAATAATTACTATGCAATATTATTGCAATCGTGTGTCTTAAATTCAATGAATGTGTTTGTTCAGCATTTTCTATGAGGTGTCGCAGTGCTGGCTTACGAAAAGTACTTCTGCATTTAATCTGTATTCTTCTCTGTCGTATCAGATCCATTCTGTACGCATTAGTACAGAGAAGATTTCGAGAAACTTCAGCCAAGAACCGAACACAGCTTATCCACATACTTAATTAGCATTTTCCATCAACCAACATGAGACTGCAATATCAATAATATTAAATTTAATATCAATACCAAGAATTTCTTAACATAAATATTTACGGGATATACAGCCGGGGGTTCGACATAACGGAATATTTTCTCCGCGTGTACAGTCAAAAGTATGGATTACTTTTGCCCGTATATTTAACAATAAATGAGAGAACGAATTCGGTTTAATTTAATTACAGTACAAACATTGAATACGTTTAAAAAATATCAAAACAGACATTGATTTCGAAAACGTTGTCATCATAGCGTAAAAATAAACTACTATTCCGCTGTTATACACGAGTATTATTTTGAATATATTTTCTTGTTCCGAAATATATTTAAAACATTCCCCTTCTTTACAAAAGAAAACTTTCTCTCCCGAGAGCGAACGTCTCACAGAGTACGTGGTACCAATATAAGAATTAGGATTCATACTTGACCCGTTCTTGTACCGAACGACACGTGTCTTGCCGTAAACGATCTCGTCGGTCATTCAACCCCGGTCACGTGGTGCATGCACTGGCGATGGAAATGGGGTGTTTGTTTAACTTTTGACAATTACGAGGTGCACTGAGGGCACAGCGTATCTCGTCTACCTGGTTACAGGCTAGACTTGTTCCAGTTCTATAGTGGCTTTGAAGTACCACCTGAAGATGGCCTAAGGGCCGGGATTTTAGTGAAGCTTTGTATAGCACGTCTTCAATTTCTTTTAACAGTCACTTAAATCACATAACTAGCAAGACAATTAAAAAAATTAAATAAAAAACAGGTATGGAAATTAACAAAACATTACATTTTAATAAACTAAACCATTTCATACGTCAACATTGACACTTAATATATTAGTGAATCTTATACGTGTTCAAAATGACCACGGTACACAACTGACTGACAAGTGGCCTTAAAAGTTGTTTCTGTGCATACATCTTTTTGGAACACCCTGTAGAATGACAAAGACAAAAAGATAAGGACCAATGGCGGTCTGTTGTCAACACAACAGTCGTAATAAACCTTCGCGTCCCATAAAAGCTCGTGAACTTGGCTGACCAAGCGACTGTTAGCTTCTCGAAAGGGACTGTGTTCATTTGTGATTGCAACAGATCTGTAATTTGCTTAAAATTCTGTTACTTTGTATCAGGATTAGACAACTCACAGGTCACTTGAAACTGTTTAACTGTTGGGCTATTTGTAGCATCATTCTACAGGGTGATGTCATAAAGTTTTGAATTCATATTTAAGGATAATTAAGGCAGTGTTCTGTATGAAGTCACAAGAAAAAAAATACATCTTTTTCAGTGAGATTGTCGTTCTGCCATTGCTTAATATAGGTTAAGGCAGAAATTTCGTAATCTCTTCCAATATCGATACTTACGAGATACATACAAATAACATCATACAATAACAACTGCTAACACCCTATCTAATTCTGGGCTAATTTGTATTGGCATATCGTAAATATTTCACTCTTTAAATTCAAATTATACTTTTGTCTTCAGACAACTATCGGCAGCATTTTGCTTCATTGTTCTGCAGCGACATTGGCGACGTGTTTCAGTACTAATCCAGTACGCTATGAATGCCCTTCGACTTAAAAACTCTTTCCGTCAGACAGAGCGAATCCTTACCTCCGTGGCGAGACTCTGATTGGCTCCGTTGGCGAGTAGAAATCTGACCACGTTGTCATGGTTCTCTTGGGCCGCCATGTACAGTGGCGTGAAGCCATTTTGTGATTGGACATTCACTGCTGCTCTGTTTGCCACCAGTAGCTTGACAACTTCGTCTTGTCCGGCTGCAATAAACAGTAAAATGTAACTAAAATAGACCTGCTTCTTACGTCATGGACCTATGACGTAAGAAGTTACCATAATTTTAGAGGAACGTGTCGCCTTTATCTTCAGTCCTGAACCACCTACAAAAGTACATTAAGTCTTCAAACAAATTATCAAAATCCATACACATTCTTGCGTTCAGCAAATTCTCACAAATACCTAAAGAGCTGAAAGGTGTTCTCCAGTTTGGAGTACACACAACTTTAGAGTGAGTTTGCTGCAATAACATAGGCCATCTCACTTGCCTTAATATTCACGTCCTGCTAATACACATATTTTAGAGGATAAGTTAAATTCTTTTCATTACCATTAAATCTGCAACCTCAATAATTCAGATCTTGTGAAGTATGTCCTCCGTGAAATAAACTAATCCCTTTACTTCAATAATCTTATTTACCATTTGCCTCGAAAATAATATGTTGGATGACATTAATATTCATTGTTTTCTATTTCACAGGTTAAAATTGTCAAAATCAATTAGACCAACTACTTAAATGCGTGTATTTTTCTTCAACAGTAAGGACATATGTCATATCATATAATAAATCTATCCTTGTATCGATTCGATAAATCTCCAGATACATTAAAAAAATATATCCTGGTTGTCCAGCGTCTGTAACCGACACTAGAGGAACGTCACAACGGTTTCGAAAGCAAGGCACGACGTATCAGGGTGAGGCAAGGTTGTCCCTTTTAAGTTCTTTCTCTAGTTTACACAATAAATTTTAAAGTACAGAAGCGAAAAGTTGGCAGACGTGAAAATATTATCGAGAAAATTCTGCCCTCTGCGTTTCTACATATTACAAAAAATGTTTAAAGTCATGGCGTATGCGGCTATTAACAACGCAGACCACGGGGAGACGAACACCGAGTTAAAACACTTCACTCTCTTGTTATGCAATTCCTGGAAATGTTTCGCGTCACGATGTCTGCGAGTCAGAACGTCGCGAACTATTTTCATCTCGAGCACCACGCCCAACCGCGGCGAACTCAACCCACTGGCGAGGCGTGGACTCGGTTCATCTCCGCTGATTGTTCAAAAGGACACAAACAGTGGTTCACTGATTCAATTAACCTTTACAGCCCATCATTTTCATAACTAGCAACTTGATTCGTCGTTCATTGTTCTCCTCAACTATTTATTCATTGAAACAAAACACCAACTCCCGTTGTACTTACAGTGGTGGTACTGTAGCCAACGTAAAGTTCCCACAATGTTCTGTGAAAGTTGGTAAATTTGTTCCTACGCTGAAAGAGGACAAACACAGATAGCAGAGACATCTACAAATATATTTTGTTACTATAAGAAAGGTATATAACCTAGAAATTCTATGCCTAACGTCGAATAAGCGCACAGAATCTGTTACAAAATTAAACTGCTTGTTATGCTGAGAAAATGATGATCATTTATTTAGGGATCTGTGTGCAGTGGTGAATCGTACCTAGTGATGCGATGTGGAGAGCGGTGTTGCCTTTCTTCGTGGCAGCGTCGACAACAGCGCCTCGTTTCAGCAGCTCGGTGACCACGTTAACATGACCGTCTTTTGAAGCGAGGTGTAACGCGTTGAGTCCATTCTGAAACATTCCAGCAGAGTTCAGCGTAGGCAGAGTAGAAAAAACTGTGGGTCTGAAAATTATGCCGCTGAAGAGAAGAAGGTTCTTAGATGTAGTCGTTCGTTTCCTTGAGAAAGTTGGCAATGAATGAATTCCTGAGGACAGGGAAATCACGTTCTCTGACGTAGCTACATTCCACGATGTAGGGAAGGTTTTCTTATGCTTTATGAATTTAACAATTCTTTCTATTATTAATCCATAAAAGCCCTCCAAATTTTATTACCGTTATGTGCCTACTTTTTCAGTAAAATTTTGCCCTAATTTCGGAATGTGTGAAATTACGCACATCATGAAATTTTACGTCTGTCTTCGGTAAAGTTGAATATATCGTTATATCACGTGGAACGAGGCCGTTATGAACAAGAGAATGAAGTTATTGCGAAACTATTTGAAGTGACGGAAACAATTTTGAAATACAAAATTAACAGAAACTACAAAAAATACTGAAAAATTATTTAATATTCGAAATGGTAGGAAGACGAAAATCGGTACTGCCAGAGGGGCCCTCGAAAAAGCACTAGCCATCGATACGCTGTCAGGAAGCAGAGTGGTCGAAGAACATTGACTTTTTCATAGCCTGTTGTGGTGGCAAGAACACGCAATGTTTTTTTTTTTGAAGTTTGTGCTATTTCACGAGTGGATTGTGAGGCCAGGCAGGGGTATGTGAATGATAGAAAGTACGTTATTGTTACAGTAATAATCGTTTATTAAAAGACAGTTGCACCTAAGTTGTTTTACTGCGAAAAGTCTATTTATATACCAGGAAATATCAATCATGAACAAAACCATTTTTTGATTTGAATATTACTAGCTGAAGGAATTGTCAAAATCGTTTTCCCTTATGCTGAATATGTTAGTCATGTAACAACGTTGGGAAAAGAATTAGACGTACAGAATTTTCTGTTAGTGTTTTAAGGTCTGAAATTCTTTAAACATCATTTGGTGGGCATTTCAATGTATCTTAAAGCACGCTTTCACCTGTGATGATAACACACAAAATAATCTTACGGTGTAGGGTCCTAATTGGGTGCACTATTTATAATTACACCGCCGCTGAGTTCCATGTACATAAGAGTGATATATTGACAACATCGGTTCGATAAGTAACAATCGAAAATATCATCACTGCCAGTTACTCGATATCTTGAAATATCGATTATTCCGTTACGGGAGTCGAGGTTTATTCTCAAGTACTTCGTAACTGCGGTAGGTCGCGCTGTCGTCAAGCACGGTCTAGAAATCTCTGCCCATGACTCACGAACTAATTTATATCTTCTCCACCAGAGCTGCGCTTTTGATTGGTCCTCGTGATGACAATGCATGTGACAGGAGTGGTATTTATATGGATGTTCTACTGTTCGTATGTTAAACTGACACGTCTCTCCAAATTGTGGTATGGTCACGTCACGGAAGGAGGACGCATTGGATTCCAACAATGCATGTGTTTAAGGTATTTGTTCAGGCAGTTGACTCTACCCGAAATGACTAACAAACCTTACGTCTGCTAGCACAGACCGCCATGTTGCTTTAACTGCTATGTCATTACGTGTTTTAAACGCTCTAGTTCAAGCTATACACGTTTATGGAAAGCGTTACTTTAAACTGCAAAAATAACGCAAATTTTAATAAGAAATGAAACACCTGGAAATAAGGCATAAGAATTTACTTTATGAAACATGTTGTGCTTTGGAAGATAGAATTTAGGGACTAAAGGAGATTATTACATCCTACAGAAATGAAACGAAAGTGCATGGTTTTCCTTAAACAAACTTTGTCAAAAGAAAACTGTAACTGATGTCAAGAAATTAAAATTCACGGAGTGACATGCTTTATACAGGTCGAGGCGAAATTCTCTCACAGGCTGTCCATAGTATGATTCCTTGTTAAAAAAAAATAACACGAAAATGCTATCTAACACATGCCCTGAGACGCTGTTTAAGAGATCCACGTCTCAGCAGAGTTGTCACGACGATACACAACGCTCGCTGCTAGACATATTAAAGGGGCTCAGTCCACAAAACTCCTCAGTTGTGACCGAATGACCGTGGAATCCACACACGACAAATACTTCGACATGCTCATGTTGGTGCTGCTGCACGGGGAAACGAGACACGTCATCCCGTTCGACGTCAACAACACGCTAAGGATGACCTCTTTTCACGCAATGTTCTGTGGACACACGAAACGCGGATACCAAGTTCGCTTCAGCGTTTGGGTCGGTGTCGTCGGGGATATTTGGGGAGTGTGATGTTGGTTGTCTTCTTGGACGTTACGCCGAACCCTGTGTTGATCGAGGTTTCAGAGGTAATCACCCTGATGATGGATGCAGTAACATCACGCGAAACAGTCATCTTCACAAATGATTTTTTTTATGTCATGTGAGTTGTCATGGTAACGTATTAAGTAATAAATGGAGGATCTTTCGAACTATAAACTTGCAACCTGATTTTGCTGTAGACATTGTCAAGGCTTGTGTTGTTTTATACAAATTTGTTCGGGAGAGAGACGGCTACGAGGCAGAGGATACATTGACAATCACAGGACTTGATAAAATACGTGGTGAAGAAGTATTTCGCGGGGGAATATCAGCAAACAATGTGAGAACTTTTAGCTGACTACTTCTTAACACCTGTTGGATCTCTGAAATGGCAGCTTTCAAAGATTTAATTTCATGAACGTTAATCATAT